ATACGGATAGTTTACAGGTAATTCAGAATTAGCAGCTGAAAAATTTCGTCGGAAGTATTTAGCAAAAAGATTGGAGGTTTCAATACAATCAAATCACCAGAGGACTCTAATGCATTAAGAAAAACTTTTAAAAGGTATTTAAGATTAACAAGCAGTGAGCATTTTGTCGACCGAAGGTATTTGCGATAACATTGGTGATTAAATCAATGCTCTGCAGCAAGATAGACGAAATCGTCATAAGCAAGAGTTTGTGTGGTGAAGTAAATGTATATTGAACTAGATTAAATTATAATTGCAGCTCTAAACAATCAAATACTAACGCGAAATGTAGACAACTTTGTTTACAATTGTTTACAGCATTTCCCGCACCTCTTGTGAATATATATAGCCAAAAAAGTCGAAACTCGAAAATGAAACTTAACACCATACATAATCAGTAACCAGCAATTTCGCTGGTATTGGATTTTGTTCTGGGAAAGTATGAACAGTAAGAAGAGTAAAGAGTAGTAGCAACTATTAAACTGATACGGGTTTTTAGCATATGATATCCTCCAAAAAGAGCCAATCTACTCTTTGTAGATATTGCCTTTAAAGTTCCTCAAAAATTTTTTTGTACATAAATTTTTTTTTTTTTTATTAAGAGCAAAGTACTTTTTTTTTAACAAACACGAATCAACGCTTCATTTGCCTTCGATCTATCCTTTGGTTAAAGATCAGAACTACGATTACAAACCAATATTTTTCTGAAAATGTAGTAAGCAACCAACTGAATTGAACTGAAAAATAAGCGCTAAACAGTCGTTTTTATGTAATCATTCGCACAGAGCGCTTAAGATTTTCCGACGTAACAAATGAAATTTTTCCAAACGCTATCTTCTATTTCATTAAAAGAATGTTTTATATAGTTTATTGTATACTTTTTAGTCTATTAAAATTTGTATTCTACTCTCCAAGCCATTTTAGTTAATATCCATGTGAAAGTATTGCTGTGGGAAAGATAATCCACCACTTTTTAACTTCCGTCGTATTTGTGCAGAATGGAGGCTTATCGCAATTGTACTTACCAAACTTTATTATCGACCAATTTTAGACTCAGTAAAACTTTTACGGAATTATTTGACTTGATAACACGAATTTATAAAGATAATTGCTTGGCCCGAGGCAAGGTTTAGATGTGTCATCTCTACTTTAATAACGGCCAGGAAGGGATGAGCATTCGAAACGTTATAAAGTTTATGAGTGAATTCCTCAAAGATCAACTAATAAGCCATAAACTTTTCGCATTTTGACAAAATATGTCGCCATCTGAAAGTCCTCTTCAGTATCATCAAAATCCGTTTCCATGCAAAAATGACAAACAAGTCCGTCTAGTAACACTGGACACTAATTTTATTATCGCAAATTGCATTTTAACCATCAATCTAACGCCATGTTCACCTGATTTGGCTTCGAGTGATTTCTATCACATGTAAAAATACAAATATCTGTGAAACTAAAGCGCTGCACTGACATGCCAAAGACTTGTACCAACGTTCTCAATGGCGTATCTCCAGACGACCTAAAATGCCTAAAGTGTCTGGAGAAAACTGACTTTCGATAAAATTAATTTTTATTCTAAAATGAGCCGTGTACGCGTCTTTCGCCTAGTTTTACACACAGTATGACTAAAACATTCATAATTAATGTGTGAAGATTATTGACATCACTGTCAGCAATTACTTTGACAACGTATTTTAGAAGATAGCTGTTAGACGCCTTATTCTATAAAGCACGCATGAGGACTCGAGTTACCACGGCAATACGAGAAATTTAGTGGTAAAGGAGAAACATCCAAAACTTGGAGTTTTATTAGAAGCTACGCGTTGGTTACAATGATCATTAATGACGAGCGACACATGCTCAGACTGCTTAGACCAATTTTCAGATCACGATGGTGTGGTTAGTATGTCAATTCAAACGGAATGGCAGATATTTTGTGTCCAGTTGGATCCCGGCATCTAGATTAGGGCGGAC